TCGACGAGGACGACGACGACTACGACGACCGCGACGACGGCGACGGCGACGACGACGGCGACGACGACTTCGACGGCGACGACGACGGCGACGACGACGACGTCAACGACGACGACGACGGCGACGGCGACGGCTATGGCGACGGCGACGACGACGGCGACGACGACGACGGCGACGGCGGCGACGATGACGGCGACGACGATGACGACGGCGACGGCGACGACAACGGCGACGGTGACGGCGACGGCGACCTCGATGAATGGCGACGGCGACGACGACTACGACGACGACGACGACGACGACGACGGCGGCGGCGACGACGGCGACGGCAACGACGACGACGACGGCGACGGCGACGGCGATGGCGACTGCGACGACGACGGCGACGACGACGACGGCGACGAAGACGACGACGACGACGACGACGACGGGGACCTCGACGACAACGACGACGGCCACGACGACAACGACGGTGACGACGACGACAATGACGGCGACGGCGATGGCGACGACGACGACGTCGATGATGACGACGACGACGACGAGACGACGACGGAGGCGACGGCGACGACACGACGATGACGACGGCGGCGACGACGACGACGACCACGACGGCGACGACGACGACGATGACGACGACGGCGACGACGATGGCGACCTTTACGACGACGACGGCGACTGCGACGACGACGGCGGCGGCGACGGCGATGGCGACGGCGACGGCGACGGCGACGACGACGACGACGGCGAAAGGCGACGACGAAGACGACGACGGCGACCTCGACGATCACGACGATCACGACGACGACGTCGACGGCGACGGCGGTGGCGACGGCGACGGCGACGACGACGGCGATGGCGACGGCGACGACGACGACGACGACGACTACGAGACGGCCACGGCGGCGGTGGCGGCGATGGCGACGGCGACGGCGACGGGGGCGTCCCAGGATTCCGCGAGCCTTGGACGACGATGACGACGACGACGGCGACGGCGTTGACGACGACGACGACGGCGACGACGACGACGACGACGGCTACGACGACGGTGACGGCGAATTCGACGACGACGGCGACGGCGACGGCGATGACGGTGACGACGACGTCGACGACGACGACGACGACGACGACGGCGACGGCGACGACGAGCACGGCGACCGACGACGACGACAACGACGGCGACGACGACGACGGCGACGACGATGACGACGGCGACGGCGACGGCGACGGCGACGGCGATGGCGACGGCGACGACGACGACGTCGGTGACGTCGACGACGGCGACGACGACGGCGACGGCGGCGACCTCGACGGCGGCGACGACGACGACGGCGGCGGCGACGACGACGACGACGGCGGCGGCGGCGGCGGCGACAACGGCGACGGCGACGGCGACGGCGATGGCGACGACGACGACGACGGCGACGGCGACGGCGACCTCGTTGACGACGACGACGAGGACGACGGCGACGACGACGACGACGGCCACGGCGACGACAACGGCGACGGCGACGGCGACGGCGACGGCGACGACGACGACGACGACGACGGCGACGGCGACCTCGACGACGACGACGACGGCGACGGCGACGGCGACGGCGACGGCGACGGCGACGGCGACGGCGACGGCGACGGTGACGGCGAAGGCGACGGCGTCCGCTTCGGCACCGGCGACGGCGACGACGACGGCGACGACGACGACGACGACGGCGACGACGACGGCGACGGCGACGGCGACGGTGACGGCGACGGCGACGGCGACCGCGACGGCGACGACGACTTCGGCGACCGCGGCGCCGACGGGGATGGCGACGACAACGACCGCGACGACGACGACGAACGCTTCGACGACGGCGACGACGACGATGAGAATGTCAATGGAATTGTCGACGACTGCCGCTGCCAGTGACCCCTCAAGCTCTCTTCTGTCCGGCAGAGGATGCCGGTGGATCCGTCCTCAGTCGCTTGCTTGTTCTCCATCGGATTTTTCTATCTCCTGGCGCGGTCGGCGCCGCCAGTCGCCCCTGTCTGCGGCTGCCAGTGCGATTGTGGGGCCCCGGGCTGGCCCGCCTCCGCGCTGATCGCGGTCGCGCTCGGCCAGCTCGCCACAGGGTTCCTCTTGGCGCGCTGGTGGCGCGCGCCGCTGGTCGGAGGGCAGCCGACGCCGACCGCGCGGGCGAAGTGTCTGGCGCTTCCCGTTGGTGCTCGCGGGCGGCTCGAGGGCGGTGGTTGATGTCCTTCAGAAACGTTGGAGGGCGTCGCTTCTGGGCGCTCCTCGACCGTGACGCAGCGGTCTGGCACGAGAGACTTCTTTTACAGCCGACGGCAGGAGGACGCGTTATCGTCGCACCTGACGGCGATGTCTACGAGGAGCAATACGGAGACTACGTCGACATGCTGGAGAGTGGGATTGCAGGCGGGACGCCCAATCGCCTGTCTGGCAACAAGGCGCTCCGCTACGCTTTCCGCGCTGCCGACATGACTCAGGGAAGTGGCTTCCTTCGGCGCGCGGAGGCTGAGCTGGCCGCCCTGGCTGCTCGGCCTGCTGCTGGCGCTCCTCTCCCGCCCCTGCCTGGGCCGCCCGCTGGATCGGCAGCTGCTGGCGCCGACGACGACCCTGGATTTATGCTGCTGGCACGTTGGCTGGGCAGTGCCTTGTGGTGGGCTCGCGCTGGTTTGCTGGCGAGAACGTGGGGCCCTTGCGCCGCGGCGACTCCGTCATAGTCGAGGGCTCGGACGTCGCCTTCGGTGGCGGAGGTCAGGCCTTGCTGCGGCGCAACGGGGTCTGGCTGCGTCTCTGCCGCGACCCCCCCACGCCTCCGGCGCGCGACGCCTCGCCCGCCACCGAGGAGAACATCCGCGCGCTGCCCGCGGCGTACAACCCGCGTGGCGATCGCGCTCGCAGCTTCGATAGCGCTCGGAGCTAGCTGCGCGAGAAGCCGCTGGATGACGCCCGGCCTGCGGGCGGGCCTCGCACGGCGCACTGGCTCGCGGAGGCCTTCGCCAGCAGCGGGATGGCGCCCGTGCCCCGCCACCACTGGCGGCGCCAGGCCCTCGGGGCCACGTCGTCGGACCCTGGCATCGACGAGCACTTCTTCCTCTCGGTGACCCTGCAGCAGGGGCTGCAGCGCGACCAGCTCAACATCTGCAACCTCGCGCGCTTCGAGGGGGTGGCCCGCCGCTACCAGCTCTGGGGGGGGAGGTGCGCCGAGCGCATTCGCGCCGCCACCGAGTGCGTCATTGCGGCGGGGCTCGCGGCGGAGCGGCGCCGGTTCTTGGGCGGCGGGCGGGCCGAGTGCCACGCTCTGGCGTCGCCGGAGCTGGGGCGCTGGGCGGTCGCCGAGCGCATGGGGGAGGAGGCCGCGGTACTCGAGGAGCGCAGGAAGGGTCGCGAGAAGAGGGCGCCGGCGGCAGCTGGCACTTTGCCGCTGGCGCTTGCGCCAGCAAGGAGAATGCCGAGAAAAAAAAAGAAAAAGGGCGGGCAGACTGGCGCCTCGGGCAGCGGCTCGGGGGGGCAGGCCTGTTACTACCTGCGTTAACCGTGCACAGACCGAGGGCCGCCTGTGCACGCGGGGAGGTGACCGAGCGTGCGCGCCGCCATTATGCCGCCAGGTCCCGCGGCGGATCCTAGGGACCTGCTGCCCTTGCCTGCTGCGCCGCTGCTGGGCCGCTGCGTGGATGGCTGCTGCGCGCGGGCTTGGCTGGCCGAGGGCGCGTGGGCCCTCGATGAAATGGGGGGGCGCGGTGCCACTCGGCGTGCTAGATCAGCGTCTGGCATGTGCGTCGACGCGCTGAAGCGGCTCGAGAGCTCCTTCGTTGCCGTGCCCAGCTGCCCGTCGGACCCGACCGCCGAGACGGCCGCCCTGGCCGTCGTCGGCCCCGGTCTGGGCCGCGCCTTCGACGACGTGGCCAGCGGGAAGTACGTCGCCTGTCAGCGCGGGGAGGTCTCGTCAGCGCGTCGCCTCAGGAGTGGTCAGCCTGGCAGACGTACTGCCTCCTGATGCACTCTCGCTGCTGACGGGGTGAGACTCGGGCCTTGCTCGAGAGAGGCTCGACTACATCTTCTCCCGCGTCGCCGACGAAATTGGCCTTTGACAGGAGGCTCGCGCGCAGCCCCGCCGCCCATTGGAAGTTGTTGGCCGACCTGCTCGAGCGTGACATGCTCGAGGTTGGCGCGCCCTTCTCGCAGGTGGCGCCCTTTTTCGTTTACAAGAAGGACGTCGCCCTCAGGCTGATCTTCGACGCGCGGGGCTCGAACGCCCAGTTCGCGGACCCCGACTACGCCCCCCTTGCTGCCGCTCAGGCCTTCGCGTCGGTGGAGGCGCCGCCAGGCGAGAGGCTGTTCATCGCGCAGGGCGACGTCACGCGCTGCTTCTCGCTGGCGCCCTACGGCTCGTAAGTTTTGGCGTGTGGCCTTGGTCCTGCGCGCGCTGGGCCGGGGCAAGACGCGCCGCGCGGGCCGCCGGGTCGCCCGCGTCGTGGGCCATGCCTCGGCCATCATGCTGCTGCGGCCCGACATGCTGCCCGTCTTCTCCTCGGTCTACGTCTTCGCCGATCGCTTCTTCGCAGAGCCCGCCCGTGTTCGGGCGTCGGTGCGAAGGGAGCTGCGGGCTGCTTAGGCGCCGCTGCCGCTGGCCTTCGCCGACGCGAGCCTGCCGCGGTCGCCGTCTGCGGCATCTGTGCGCGCCTCGCTCCACGGCGTCGGCGTGACCGAGAAGTGCTGGGACGCTGCCGCCGTTGGCGCTGTTGGGAGGGCTTCGGAGCGCGGCCGCTACCGCGGCGCCCTTCGCACGAACCGCCGCCTCCGCGACCTCGTGGAGGGGGGGTCGGCGGAGCCGTGCTGGGCGGACGTGGCGGGCGCCTCGGGCGCGCAGCTCAGGGCGCTGGGCTTGCAGGTTGCCCTCGAGGAGGTCCCCGTCGACCTCGCGCGCGGCGGCGACTGGCGCGTCGTCGCTGCGCGCCGCTGGCGCCGCCGCGACAAGATCCTGGCGCCAGAGGCGGAGGCGGCGCTGCGGCAGGTGAGGCGCTTGGCCCGCGCTCGAGGGAGCGCGCTGCAGCGCCGTCTCATTCTTCTTGATTCGATGTCCTGGGTCCTCACTTCATGCAAGGGCCGAAGTTCAGTTTGGCACCTGTTGCGCAAGTGCCGCGAGTTTTGTGCGATGGCGTTGCCACTCGGGGCACGAACGGCCTTTCGTTGGATTCCGTCAGAGTGGAACTCAGCCGACGAGCCCAGCAGAAGGTTCGATCCGTTTTCGTTGCATTATGGTCGCCACTTACTTCCATCGTGATTTGCAACGCTGTGCTGCAGGGGGTGTTGACGCGTGTCAGTATGGCAAGGAATTTTTCACATCCTCGACTACTACATCGCAAGAGCATCAGCCTGGTCATGAAGTACAGCAAACAGTTATGCATCATCCGCAACCTGATCTACATCATAGCGTCCATCGCAACATCATGAGCAACTGCAACTTTGTCATCTTCAAGAGTTACGTCAGCAACAGCACCCTCACGCGCAATATTGTCACCTCACCAGCACAGCGCAGGCAAATAGCAAGCAAGCGCTCGATAGTCAAGATCCTCATCATCGGGTTCATCAGCATCCCGCGTTGTCATCTGGGCACGAGCATGTCCACGAGGGGCCCTCGAACTTCCCTGGCAGCCCTGCTTCCCGCGAACAGCTTCGCGCGGTCGCGATCGCCGAGGCGAGACTGCGCGGCCCTGCCGCCGCTGACGGACTGCGAGAGCAGCTTGCCGCGGGGCGGGCAACGACGCGGGCATTTGCAGCGCCCTTCGCCGGGGGCCTCCCTGGCCCCGACGCCCCAGCGCCGCCGCCAGAAGGAGTGGCAGCAGGAGGAGAGGGTGCTTGCCCCGCAGGCGGCCTTGCCGCGAGCGCGCTGCGACCCTTCGCGCCCGCGCTCGCGCTGGACGCTGACTGGCTCGGCGCCGGCGACGCTGGCGGCGGCTTCGGTGGGCCCTCTTCGGCCGCCGCCGGGGCGCGCGCTGGTGCCGCGCCGCGGCGAGACGGGCGCGGCCGACGTTCAAGGCGCGCGCTGGCCAGGTGGCGCCCAGGATCGGCATTGAACGAGGCCGAGCGCAGCGGGCTGGCGTCGCAGCAGTTGGGCTTCAACATCAGCTCGCTGGCGGCCGCTGCGGTCGCACCAGCAACGCAGAGCAACTACCTGCAGGCGCTGCGCCGGCTGCTGGCCCGGCTTCGGGCGCCGAGAGCGCCTCCGCTGACCGCTGCCGATTGGGACCTGACGCTCGAGCAGTACGTGGAGTTCCTGCACGACCGAGGGCTGCCGGAGGGTGACGTTGCGAGCACGCTGGCGGCCGCGCGCTGGGGGCTTCCCCACCTGCCGCGGCCGCTGAGGCGCGGGCTGCCTCTGGCGACGGCTGCTGTGACGGGCTGGGGGAGGCTGGAGAAGCCGCTGTCACGGCCCCCCGCGCCCCGTCTCGTCGTCATCCTGATGGCGCTGTGGCTGTGCGAGCGGGGGCAGGAGGACATCGGGCTGTTCTTGCTGCTCACCTTCGAGACCTACATGCGGCCGAGCGAGGGGCTCGACCTGGCGGGCCCGCAGCTGGCGCCGCCTGTGCCAGGCGAGAAGGGCGCGCGCCAGCATTGGGCGCTGCCGGTTAGAGCGAGCGAGCTCGACGTGCTTGGAAAGACAAGCGAGTTCGACAACAGCGTCGCGCTGGACCTGCCGCGCCATTGAGCACTGGAGCCTGCCCTTCGCCGCCTGGGGCGGGCGCGGGCAGACGGCAGCCCGCTCTTCTTCCTCATCTCGTATGTGGACCTCCTTCAGGCCTGGAACACCTGTATAGCCGCGCTGGGCCTGCAGCACCTGCAGGCGACGCCGTGCTCGCTGAGGCGCCGCGGTGCGTCGGGGGACAAGGCGTCGCTCTCGCGCCCGCTCCTCGAGATCCAGAAGAGGGGCGGCTGTCGGCCCTTTCAGAGCGCGCGCCGCTGCGAGAAGCGCGCGCGGCTCAGCACCTCGATGCGTCGCGTGCCGCAAAGGCTTCGCGACGAGGCGCGCCGGCCAGAGCCTGCGCTGGAGCGCCTCTTGCCGCCTGCTTGCGAGCGGCGCGCGCCGATGCCGCCGCGCTGAAGCACCGCGTCTTTTTAGGCCTGTTTGCTGTCACGGTGCCTGTGAGCCGTTACCTTCGCGAGAGCGGATGCGGTTGCCTCTCTTTCGATAAGTTGCTAGGTCGCAGTTTGACCTCGGCAGAAGAAGCGCCATTCTCACGATTGCTGCCTGGATTCGTGCTGGCCTGATTAGGGGCCCGTGGTTCGCCGCGCCGTGCATCGCCGCGACGCGGGCGCGAACTGACACCGCAGGCCGCATGCTTTCCCGGCGCAGATCCTCTGTGCACTATCGCAGCTTACCTGGGCTCAGCGAGCAGCGCAGAGCCCATGTGCGCGACGCGAACGCTCTCATTGATGCTGGAGGCCGCTCGCAGCAGCTAGCTTGGGAGTTAGGCATTCCGCGCGGCGAAGATAACCCGCGAACGTCGATTCTGTGGTGCTTCCCATCTCGTTTGAAAGCGCTCGCTCGGGGCACGCCTGTCGATGCCGATTTCTGTGCTAGTGGAGGGCCCATGCGCAAGAGAACAAATCTCGCGTTTTAGCACTGTGGCTCGCCTTTGGCACCGCACCTCAGATGTCATGGCCGTGCGGGCCTCCGTTCTTTCGGGGTAAGATGAAAAGAAAATGGCTCTCTAAAGTTTCTGGGCCCTATCCCTATGAGATAGCATTTTTCGGCGATGTTCTCATCCATTCGATTCATCGCCGAGCTGTGGTCACGCTCGGTGCTCTGTATTGTTCGCTCGCCAGCTTACTGCATTAAGCTGGCGTGGTTGAGGGATTTCAGTATCTCGGCACCGCGTGAGGCTTTCAACGCGTTGAATCCCAGCGCCGTGTCTCGACTGACAAAAACGAGCTGGCTTAAAGGAGGGTCATGCGAATGTCAATATTAATGTTGACGACTGCCGCTGCCACTGACCCCTCAAGCTCTTTTCTGTCCGCCTGTTGCCAGCCCTCGTCTCGACAGAAGTTTTGTGGTGGATTTCAGTTTCTCGGCGCGCCTTCCTTTGCGCGTGCCACCGCGTGAGGCTTGCAACACGTTGAATCCCAGCGCCGTGCCCCGACTGTTAAAAACGAGCTGACTTGAAGGAGGGTCACGAAAATGACGACGACGGCGACGACGACGACGCGTCGGCGAGGACGAAAACAGCGACGGCGATGACGACGACGACGACGGCGGTGACGACGATGGCGACGGCCAAGGCGACGACGACGACGACGACGACGACGGCGACGGCGACGGCGACGACGACGGCGGCGACGACGACGACGACGGCGACGACGGCATCGACAGTGACGGCGACGGCGACGGCGACGATGACGGCGGCAGTGACGGCAACGACGACGACGACGACGATGGCGACGGCGACGACGACGACGAAGATAACGGCGACGGCGACGGCGACGACGACGACGACGGCGACGACGGCGACGACGACGACCAAGACGACGACGACGACGACGACGACGACGGCGACGGCGACGACGATGACGACGACTACGACGACGACGGCGACGGACGACGACGACGACGACGACGACGACGACGACGACGACGACGACGACGACGACGACGACGACGACGACGACGACGACGACGACGACGACGACGACGACGACGACGACGACGACGACGGCGGCGACGACGGCGGCGGCGGCGGCGGCGGCGGCGGCGACGACGACGACGACGACGACGACGACGACGGCGACGGCGGCGGAGGCGGCGGCGGCGGCGGCGGCGACGACGACGACGACGACTGCGACGGCGACGGCGGTGGCGGCGGCGGCGGCGAAGACGTCGACGACGACGGCGACGACGACGACGACGACGACGACGGCGACGGCGGCGACGACGACGGCGACGACGACAACGACGACGGCGATTTCGACGACGCATGCGGCGACGATGACGACGGCGACGACGACGGCGACGGCGGCAACGCCGACCTTCGGAGCTTTCCGACGGCGACGACGACGACGACGGCGGCGACGACGACGACCTCCGGAGCTCTCCTGGAGCACCACAGTACCACGCCACACACGTTGCGCCCACTGCACCGCACCGTATCCACAGGGCGGGGGGGAGACCCATCGCGGGGGGAGGGGGCCGAATGCCATCAGCATGGTGAGGGGGGGAGGTGGGGCCCGGACCTGGACCATATATAGTGTAATGCAATGCCATGTCATGTAATGCAATGTGATGTAATATACGGCGTCCTGGATTGTGCTGGAAGGGCACCAAATCTCGCGTACTGGAGGGGGGGGGGCGATGAATGGAAGCAGCGAGGACTGCAGAAGAGAGGCCCCCCGAGGGCCGCGGGAGAAACCCTTTAGGGCCCAAACGGGGGCCGTCAGGGCCTGAGAAGTGCACCTTTCTACCCCCCCCAATGAATCGCCCCCCCTCTTGAATTAAGCGACGCCCAAGACCAGGATTGGCCTGACCAGGATTGGCTAGGTCCTGTTTAGGTCCTTTCATGGGCTTCCTGGAGTAGGTCCTTCCAGTCCTTCCACATATGCCTTCGTCCTGTTTAGGGCTTTACATACGTGCTTTTGTCTGGCTTAGGTCCTTCCATGGGTTTCCCTACGGCCCCTACGGCGCTCTCGTGCATTCACGCAGCTGAGTCCCGAGAGGTGCGTCGTTCCTCGTCCAGGTCCTTTGTGACAGAACATTGACTCAGATCTCCCCGCACCATCGACTTTGAGATCGTGTGCCGCCGTCGGTCGTTTCGAACGGTTGGACTTGAGTTGGAATATGTACCCTTTGTCCGTGGCAGAGGACACGAGGCTCGACCACTTTGTAAGTTGCCCGCTGGTGGCCTTGCGTAAGCCACCACATAAATGCAATGCGCAAACTTGCGTAATGCACAATTTCTTTCGTCACTCATGTGCGATGGGTCCACTGTCCGTTTCATCTGCTTGTTATCCGAGCAATTTTCCGACCACCGTGGGCTGCCGATCGGCATGCCATTTTTCCAAGCGCAGGGAAAGCACGCCTATGGTCTGGTTTGTGGGTGTTTTTCTGCACTGATGCTCGCATCGTGTGCGATATGTTCTTGTCGGCAGACATGTAGTTTCGGGGGCAGTCTGGGGGGCAGCTCCCTGTAGTCCAGGGGCGGGTACCACTGGTTCAGGAGCGGTTCTTTCTAGTCCAGGCGTTACCTGCCATCGGGGGCCCAGGAACTGTGGAGGGGCGCGGGGCGATTTTTGCTGGAGGGTGCGCCTCAAGAAGAGTCACCCACGATCCGATTCGATGCGATTCGAGTCCGATTCGCATTCGATTAAAGTATTCCGATTCGGAATGCGATTCGGGCCGCAATTCGATTCGGGCCGCGATTCGCATGCGATTCGGGCCGCGATGCCGATGCGATTAAAGCTGGTCCGTTTCTTTGGCATCGGCCAGTGGTGCCATTCGGAGCCTCTGGCGCGGCGATCCGAGGACGATAGCCGTCGGGGGCGATTCGCTGGAGGCCCGACCCGCTTCCAACCCGATTTGATCTCGCGATTCGATCTACACCTCGGGCGATGCTTAAGAAAACTTAAGTTTTCGGCCAGAGTCTCGATTATTCTTAACGTTTCCACGTAAATCCTAAGATTTTGACAGAAATGTTAGGTTTTTGTTCAAGTCCTGAGACTGTGAATTTCTTAACCCATGATTTCTTAAGCATTTCGCAGGGTGTAGCTCGTGCTTGTTAAGGCGAACGTATTGGACTGCTCCGCCCACGCTTAACATCCCGGCTCCTGGCAAGTCCGCGGCTCCTGGCGGTGCCGTGGCTGGGACCTCTGGACCGCAGGATGAATTGCGTGGATTTCCGGGAGCAGTGCCACAAGCTGGGCATCGACGCGTACCCCACCCTCCGGCTGTACAAGGCGAGGGCGGTTAGGTCGGATAGGTCGGCAATGCCGTTGTGAGCATCGCCGTTGTGTGCACCGCATTCGGATGAGTTTCCTATAGGGCCACTGTGCCAAAATGGGTGCGGTGGGTGCATGCGAACGCAGCCATTGGGGCCGTCGGTGGAGCTCCCTGTGGTGCCATGAACATGTGAGGGGTGTGCCAAGATGGGTGCGGAGGGCGCATGCGAACGCAGCCATTGTGGCCGTCGGTGCATATCCCTATGGGGCCGCGAAGCGTGTGAGGGGCATGCGGCATGTCAAAATGCGTGAGGTACGCGCATGCGAACGCAGCCGCTGGGGCCGTCGTTTGAGCTCCCTTGATAGCCGCGAAGCGTTTGAGTGGTGTGCCCAAATGGGTGCGGTTGGCGCATGCGAGCGCATCTTCTGGGGCCATCGGTGAAGCTCATTATGGGGCCGCGGAACGAGTGAGGGGTGTGCCAAAATGGGCGCGGTGGGTGCACGCGAACGCAGCTACTAGGGCCGCCGGTGGAGCTCCCTATGGGGCCGCGAGACGAGTGAGGGTGTGCCAAAATGGGCGCGGTGGGTGCACGCGAGCGCATCCACTGGGGCCGTCGGTGGAGCTTCCTGTGGGGCCACGAAGCGTGTGTGAGGTGTGCCAGAATGGGTGCGGTGGGCGCATGCGAACGCAGCCACTGGGTCCGTCGGTGGAGCTCCCTATGTTGCCACGAAGCGTGCGAGGGGTGGGCCAAACATAAAGTGCGCGGGGAGTGCATGCGAACGCATCCGCTGGGGCCGTCGGTGGAGTTCCCTATTGGACACCGAAACGTGTGAGAAGTGTGCCAAAATGGATGCGGTGGGTGCGTGCTACTTGGGCCGTCGGTGGAGCTCCCTATGGAGCCACGAATCGTGTGAGCGGTGTGCTGAAATTGGTGCGGTGGGCGCATGCGAACGCAGCCACTGGGGCCGTCGGTGGAGCTCTTTGTGGGGCCACGAAGCATGTGAGGGTGTGCCAAAATGTACGTGTTCGGCGCATGCGAACGCAGCCACTGGGGCCGTCGGTGGAGCTTGTGGGGCCACGCAGCGTGTGAGGGGTATGCCAAACAACATGCGCGATGGGCGAATGCGCACTGGTGCTGCGTTGGAGATCCCTGTGGGGCCACGAGGCGTGCGAAGGGTGTGCCAAACATGGGCGCGGTGGGCGCATGCGAACGCATCTACTGGGGCCGTCGGTAGAGTTCCCTATGGGACCACGAACCGTGTGAGGGGTGAGCCGAAATAGGTGCGGTGGGCGCGTGCTACTGGGGCCGTCGGTGGAGCTCCTCATTGGGCCACGAAGCGTGTGAGGGGTGTGCCGAAATAGGTGCGGTGGGCGCATGCGTACGCAGCCACTGGGGCCGTCGGTGGAGCTCCCGATGGGACCGAGAAACGTGTGAAGGTGTGCCAAAATGGGCGTGTTGGGCGAATGCGAACGTAGCCACTGGGGCCGTCGGTGGAGCTCCTTGTGGGGCCACGAAACGTGTGAGGGGTATGCCAAAATGTGTGCGGTGGGCGTACGCGAACGCTAGCATGTGGACCTTCGGTGGAGCTCCTTATGCGGCCGCGAATTGTGTGAGGGGTGTGCCGAAACACGTGCATGCGGAGGGCAGAGGCCAGGAGGGGGAGGGAGGAGGAGGGGGAGGAGGAAGGAGAGGAGAGGAGACGCGGGTCGCTGTTTCTTCAAAACGAGGGCCCAACACCACAGGATGGTTGGGAACAACAGCGTCAAGGGAGGGCCAATCATCCAGGCCTCCCAGATGGAGTCTGAGTAGATGAGATCGGAAGATCGCTCCGCATCGACGATGCATCGGCGATTCGGCTCGCCTTCTTAGGCTTCCTTGGAAGCCTTCGTCGCCACGGCTAGACTCGCCGTGAAATCCTGGCCGGAAGGCGCCATGGGAGAGGTCCAGGGAGTAGCGTTCTGGGCACCTTTTGGCTTCCCCAGGTTCGGTCGGTTTTCGGTTTTGCTGTCACCGTGCACGGCCGTGCAAAGGGCAGAGGGTGGAGTCCGGAGGCCTGTGGGCAGGGGGGAAAGCATGATCGAGATTCGAGGGATCGAGGATCGACGATTCGGGAAGTCTTTGGTGGCCCCAATTGGGACTTGGAGCCCTCCAGGGAGGGTGGACCGCCCAGGAGGATGGGGGAGTGCGAGGGGGCCGCGAAGAGAGTCAAAAGAACCTCGCACTCTTGACCTATTGATGCTCTGCTCGCGCGCTGCACGTCGCGCACGCGTGAAGACCGCCGCCGCTGTTGGCCCAGGTGAGAACCTAGAGTGCGAAACGCATCGCCATCGGCGCTTGAGATGGCGAATGCGCCGGGTAGAGGGCGGAGGGCAGGAGGAGGAGGAGGAGGACGAACCGTAATGGCGTGTTCTGTCCACGAGCGTCTGTATACTGAGTAGCAGTGGTGCCACCTTGACGGGATAAATGCGTGATCGGTAGACGTGATGTCTCACTTGTTCATCTCGGCAAAGCGCAGCCCCGGAGGACGTTGCGGGTTCACTTTGGCGCCACCAAGATACAGCACATCAGATCACGACGTTAGGGCAGCATGGATTAGGGGGGACAGCGTTTCGTTGCCCATGGGCTACGTGGTCGTTTTGAGTTGTCGGAAACCTTCTGGTGACGCGTGGACGCTGCATCGACGGCGTGAGGTCCTTGCAGACCTGTCCCCCTGCAGGCCTTCAGCCGTGGGAAAAAGGTTTTCGGGCGCGCGGACGTTCGCGCGTGAACTGATGGCGTAGGGTCGCGCGTGAGCGCCCTTCTTCCGCAAAGCATGCAGCGCTGGCGGCCCGCGCAATCCACCGCGTGCGATTGCCGTGTCCTCGCGCGTGAGACCCGATTTGGCGTTGTCGCCCTTCGGGAGCCCCCCCCGAATCCGTTGGTGGGAGAATGGGAGGAGGGATGAATGGGAGGGGGGATGGCGTTACCAGGGGGAGGGGAGAGAAGGAGGAATAGGAGGAGAGGGAAGGAAGAGGAGGAGGAGGAGCAGGAGGCGGAGGAGGAGGAGGAGGAGGAGGAGGAGGAGGGCGATGGAGGGGGATGGAAGAAGGAGGACGGAGGAGGGAGTATGAAGCCCTCCTTCCTCCATCTTAGAGGGGCTCACGCACGTCATTCATAGTAATAACACTCGACCGTCGCCGAAAATTCATCAAATCCGTTCTCCTCTCATAAGAAAACTGGCTCTATAATCGTCCCCCCCAGATCTATCGACCCCCCCTGGGACATTGCAAATGCCATATGATTATGCTTCATAATTCATTTTATCAGTTTTTGCCAGCTGGTTATCGCTCTCCCCATCCCAGTTAAATAGTACTCTGCGCTCGCACTCGTTTATCCGTAAGGGCTGCGCCCCATGCCGCCGGCCCCCTGTCTCGGATAATGGGAGATGCAAAAGCTAAATCATGAGGTCTGGGCGCCGCCGTGAAGCAGTGTCGGGATCTGTTTGTTTTTCGCGGTGCCACTGAATTTCAGAAATGTGGCAAATCCCTTGTGTTTTTGGACCCTGACCCTACGGATCTGCGTCACGGGTGCCACCGAATTTCAGAAATGTGGCAAATCCCCTCTGTTTTTGGACCCTGACCCTGCCGATCTGCGTGAGGGGTGCCGCTGAATTTCAGAAATGTGGCAAATCCTGTGTGTGCTTTGGACCCTGACCCTACCGATCTGCATGAGGGGTGCCGCCGAATTTCAGAAATGTGGCAAATCCTGTGCAGAAATGTGGCACACCCTCTGTGTTTTTGGACCCTGACCCTGCCGATCTGCGTGAGGGGTGCCGCCAGAATTTTAGAAATGTGGCACATCCTATGTGTTTTTGGACCCTGACCCCGCCGATCTGCGTGAGGGGTGTCAAGTTTTACCCACCCCAGCAATTCAGACAACACGCTCAGGGCGTGGTGAAAATACTCGTTTTGGATCTCCTTCCCTCGCGCGGTCCATCAACAAGGAACAGTAAGCAGCAAGATGTCAACAAGGAACAGTAAGCAGCAAGAAGCAGAACTGTAACAGTGGAAACTGGAAGCTGCAACTGGTACAGGAATCTGCGAAGCTTCGGCCTTCAGCTTGGTGGCCCCACAAGGGGGCTGGCTGATCTCGAAGGATTCTATGTTTCACAGATAGTGTGTGAAGATACGGTGCAAATTCCACGCGCGCACACATGTGCAGAACCTACCAAACACACCCGTTCTGCCAGAATTTCAACGCATACACATGAAAATGCCTGAGGCTTGTCATTACAAATGCTGCAGGTGTCCTGTCCGTGCGCATCTGCTGAGGTCATCGGAAAACCATCTGCGTTTAGCCATCTCGCCCAGGACTCACAACCGGCGCCCGGTGCACGAAACCGTATCAAATATTGCAATGCGGGCCACACTGTCACACGCGCGCTCGGGCCGCCAGCGCTGCCACGCGCTTGTATCGAAATCTGTCAAAGACTGCTGATTTTCGAAGCATTTCAAGCTAGATCTCTCACTTCAAACCACATCAGAGAATGGATGGATTCGGCTTGTGTTCGGGATTCGGTTGTCTGCGATGTGTGGGGCCATCGGGGGTCGAGGTCAGGGACGATTGGGTCCCGAACGACACTCAGGCGGGGACCGACCGTTACAAGGAGCTCCTGGCCTCCATCCAGTACGCTCTCTTGCCGCCGGGGCAGATCCCCAACTGCTACCGCACACGGGAGGCGGTCGAGAGCGGCGCAGTCCCCGTGATCGTGCCCGGCACCAACCTGCAGCATATTTCGTCGGTTTGCTACAACAATTGGTCGGGCCTCTACGGCCTGCCAGTCAGTGGCGGACGCGACGGCCTACCCCCGGATTCCCACAGCACCGCTCAGGACGCTGAAGGCCTTCGGCGACTTTGCCTGCAACACAGAGGGCATGCGCACGGGGGCCACAGACGAGACAGGTCGGCAGCTGCAGAGTTGGCACTGGCGGCGCGCGTTCCACGACCAGCTCGAGCAGCCCGTGAAGTCGTCACTGGCCCTGAGCGCCGCGGCTCGGGAGTGAGACCGCGCCAGGTCCCTTCTGAGACGACTCTCTCGAGCACCGGGTGTCTTCCGACAGTGAAGTCCCTCTTCCTCCGACTCTACTTGACGGGTCAAAAACCGTCATGCGTGTTGAGCGATGAGTTGTTGCCCAGTTGCCATGGAGTGATGCGTGGATCCTGCTTGCGATGATTATCCTCCATGTTTTCCCCTCAGTCCCGTCCGCTGCTTCACAACACGCATCCGCATGACACAGAAGTGTTGGGGCACTCGTGGGTGGACACAAACATTGCCGGGTCCTTCCCTTTCGGTTTCTTGCTCATGGAGTTGCAGGAGGAGGAGGAGGAGGAGGAGGAGGAGGAGGGGCCATATTTAGCCCTGCAAGGCTGACGGGTCCTTCTCCGTCTTCGACGGCAACAGGAAGGAAAACGAAATGCAAAGATGGATTGAAAGGCTCGCACTCTTCGCAGCTCCCTTGGTCCATGGAGGTACATTCCGCATGTAATTTTACAGATTCTAGGCCTTTCTGGGAACATATGTTTTCTGTGCTTAATCGGCTTTGCCCATGGGTTTTGGTGTACCCTTTCGGGCTCAGGAAGCTCGAAATCGAGGCATGGAAAATGGCACGTTTGGAATTATGATGTCAATTGCTTCCTTCTTCCCGCCAGCTCATGTTGTAGCATTGTTGTCATGCTCTTGTGCGCTCGTGGGGATTTGAAATTCGTTGGGTTGCAGTTGTTTGCTATCGGTTGGACTATCTCAGACCATAGTTGGCTGTGTGAGGCAATCCTGGTAATTATTATGTTGGAGTCCGTTCGAGCACCTTGGGGTCAGTTCATTGCCTGACACCCACTGACCCGCGCTCGTGGGCTGCCTTCTAGGACCTCGAGAGGCTCGGTTGGTACACTCGAGGAGCCCTCTTGCGGGGTCTAGGGACCCTCTCGGGACTCGGGGCCCGCTTGCGACCACCGTAGGGCATGCCAAGCCAATTGGTGCCCGCAAGGGCGTGTCGGCCACACGCGAAGCAAGCACTTGTTTTGGTCGACGGGCTGTGCCTTCTTGGGTCATCTCCTACGGTAGGTTCGCGTCGTGTCGACCATCGGCGACCCCGCCGCGGGCGTTCAAGGTTGAACGCCGCCAGTGGCCCAGAATCGACCAACATTTCACGATCGGGCGATCGACAAGCAGCCGATCGTTCAAGGTTAAACGATCCACGCGGTGTCAGAAACCAACGCCGGAGTCGTCACGACACGAACCTGCCGCAGCCCATTTGGTAATCTTGAGGTGTACTTGCAGTCCATTGGGCTGTGTTGGGCCATCTTGGAGCCTCTTGGGGCCATCGTGGGCCATCCTTACATCCTGGCACCGATTGGCCCGCACTATTGGGTCGTTGGCTGGCCATATATGGACTCTCTTTAAGCCCACTTGGAGTCCTCCCGTGGATTCTTGGAAGCTCATGTGAGCCTCAGACCGTTGTGGCGAACACCATAATAAAGTAACACTTGGTTTTTTCTATTGGGTATGAGTTGGAGCTTCCGAGAAGAGGTTACTGAGACACATTGGACCTTCGTTGAAGTCCATCAGGCTAGCCTGGACAACCCTCGGCCGTCTCTAGGCGCTGCTAGGTTCTTACCAGGGTACGTTTAATGCCTCCTCGATTACTGCCACCAACAGGTCTGCTTTGGGCGCTCTTGACAGTCTTTCGCCCATTTTTGGGGGGAGGGGAAGATTTCGTCCGCAGACCCCAGGGTACCCTTCGCGAGCACGATCGCAAGCGCGGTACAAGTTGGACCAAGTATGGAGTCGAGTCTGTCGCACAATTCGTCGCATGGGCGAGCTCGCAGATCCATTATGACCAATTCGATCAGCTAGCCTTGCGCATCTGGTTGATGCTTGCTGGATACGCTTTTCGATTCCATGCCAGAAAGGAGATTCACCCTTCTTCCGAAGGGCCCACAACAGTTCCCGACGCGCGGGCAGCATTTGGTGCATCCGATCGATTCGACGTTGAGTGGGCGCCGTTGCTCCCGCATGCCCGCTCCACTCGTCCAATCGTCCGTATCTGCTCTCTTGATCGTGTTTCTCAAGGCGGCATATTTACCTTCGCCCCCCCACCTTAATACCCCTTCCACCTATGTATCTCTTTTCTCCTCTCTCTCACTCTTTCGTTCTCTTGTTCATATTTTTCAAGAAGCTTGCGCCATTCCGCCGAACCCCATGACAGTGAATTCGTCAAGAGTCTTGCCACCGCCCCTGGCCTGTGGGTCATGAGCCTCGGGGATGCATTGTATGAGGGTCTCCTGTGGCCCTTTGGAGCTCTCTTGGGGATTGGCCTTTGGTGGCCTCTTGCAGACCTCTTTTGGGGCTCCTGGGCCCCTCTTGGACGCCTCCTGGCCCCTCTTGGGGGCGCCTCGGGGGTCTCCGGGGGCTACTGGGGCCATCACGGCGGGAACCTCAGATGCCATTTCGTATTGCCCTTCGTGGGCCCCTCTTGGTGGTGCACAGATGCGCTGGATGCTCAGGGTTCGAGGTCGGGCAAGACACAGTTGGCTTTGTCAAGAAGGCACTTCGGCGATCCTTCGATCGGAGGGACTTTCGGGGGAAGGCTGAACTCTCGTACATACTCATGCTTTGCCGCCATTGTGGGCTTGACCCTTCTTGTGGATCCAGGGGGACCCCTTGGCCGCATTGAAGAGTGCTGACACAAAACAATCGCACGTGTGTTCATAGATTAGACAAGTGCAAGCGCGGGTATCGTCCAGCTGCCTGTGGACACTCCCGCCACCGTGCCCCCGCAGCATTTGGGGTCGCGACTGTTCGAGGGACACAGGCCGTCACGTGTGGCACTTCGTGCCCCCAGGCTTGGGATAGCCGTGGTGAGGATGATGAAATGTGCAAGCGCTGGTATTGCCACGCTATTCTTCGATAGCCCGTCGAAGCAATCAGGGCACCATCCCCCCCCTGGCGCGCGGAGGACTTGCACGCCGCGCCTGTCCTTGCGAGATTGTCGGTGCCCTCGAGGGTGGGTTGGGGTCGGTGTGCACATCTCTCGCGGGGAGGGGGCTCACGCCCCAGGGGTGATGCACGCTATACCCCTCCAGAACCTCCCCGTATCGGTGACGCCTGAGAATGAGAAACGGCCACAGGCGCGAACCCTTGCAGTTGCCGTAGGACCTTTTAGGCACCCGCACGCAATTTCGACAGATCCTGAACGGATTCTTTAGCCCCCCACCCATTGGATGGATCCCATTGGGACTGCGTACTGCGTACTCTCCCGTTTACGGGAGTATTTGCAGCCTCAGGCTTTTGGTGTGTTGGTGCTGCGTGCATGCCTTGCGGGGTACACGTCGCGGCCACCGTTTTACCCTTACCCCCCTCCCATGCCCGCGCACCCCAGTTCCCAGGTCACATGCGTCCCCCCCCCTGGATACAAGAACGGCCACCTCTCCTGCCCCCCTGGACCCAGTTCCGTCCCTATACCCCTCTTCCTTCCCTGCCCTCCCTCCACTGCACCCCTGCCCCGCTTCCTCCCTTGCCCTCCCTCCCTTGCCTCCCGGTCCTGTGGTCGCCAGGACTGTGAAGACGAAGACGTACGCGTGGGGCAAGCACCACGAGGCACCGGTGCCCCCGGGCCGTCCGCTGCGCTGGCTGCGCCGCTGCTTGCCGACCCTGGGCGCCTCTCAGCGGCGCCTTGCCAGAGAGGCCCAGTGCCCAGCACAGCCAGCAGCCGACCCTGACGAATGAGCCAGGTCCTGCGCCCCTCAAGCTATCGACCATGGTGGAGGTGTGGCGTCCCTTCCGCTCCTCCCTCCTCTCCCTCTGGTCCGCCTCCCCCTCCCCAGGTTCCCAGTTTCCGATAGCAGTGGAGCGTCGGGGGCGCCACGTCCCGGAAGCGCGCTTGGGTTCTTCAGGATTGCGTGAGGGCAGAAGCTAACGCCCTCCGCTGCCAGCCTTTCTCCTCCAGCCCTCCCCCTCCGAAGTCCGTAGCTGTTTGGGCTCAAGGTAGTGCTTGTGCTTATGTACATGAGTGACGACTCGCTTCAGCGCAATAGGAACATGTTCTGCATTGCATTATTCGCTTTGGTCGCAGGACTGGTGTCCGGAGAGAGGCAGCGTCGCCCATCAGATTTCGGATCCGGCGATCCCATTACGCACTCCTTCAGGCAATGCGTTAGAGAACCCTTGCAGACAAGCTGTCCAGGGAAGCTCCACTCCGACGAGGGATGGCCGCCGCCGCCACCCGAGCAACGGAAGAAAATGGGACCGTCTGCGCCGACGTTCGCGCATAAGCTCCCCGCGTACGTCCGCGCGTAAGCGCCCTCCTTTCCCATGTTGCGTGCCGCGCTGGCGGCCGGCGTACGCCGCCGCGTGAGGTCGCCATGCCATCTCGCGCAAGACCCTCCTCTTCTCGTCGAGCACATGGGCGGGGGGGTCAGAGGCGACGTCGGGGGCTGCGATGGTGTGCACTTCTCGGGGCGCTCCTGGCCGGACCACACGCATCCCGCAGGGCCGGGAGATCGATCTCGGGAGGCGCGCGGGCGGGGGGCAGCGCGGTGGGGGCGGCCTCTTGCTGCGGGGGTTTGGCAGCAAGTCGCGGGAGCCTGCCTGTGCAGCAGCCACGCGCACAGGGGGGTGGGGGGAGGGGAGGGAGAATGGAGGAGGGAGGAGAGGAGGGGAGGAGGAGGAGGAGGACGAGGAGGAGGAGGACCTGCTGCCTGCGGCTGGCCCCCCTCCTGCGTGGCGGTGACGAGCTCGAGTCGTGCTGGGCCCGGGAGCGCGTGCCACTGCATGGCAGCAACTCCACAGGAGAGGCGGCAGTTGCGTTGAGAAGGCAGTCTTCTCAGCCACGCGCAGGGGGGAGGGGGAGGGGGGAGGGGGAAGGCTTCTTAGAAGCAGCCTGCTTCTTTGGAGGCGCAGTCCTCCTCTATCGATGTAGTGCCGGCGCCTCCTAAGAAGCAGCTTCCTTCTCACAAACCCTCCCCCATCCCTCCACCCCCTTGTGCGTGCCGCCAAGTGCACCTTTGCAACTCCGTCTTTAGATTGCCTTGGCGTCGACTAGCGCTTGGTAGTCGACGAGAACGCGTCAATCTAGCGTCGATCTAGCATCGAGTAGCATCGACGTAACGTCGGTTAGCGTCGGTTAGTGTCGATTAGCAAGAGCCGACAAGATGGCATAGGCGGCTCCCATGAGTTGGCACCGAAGGGGGGGTATTAGAAGCCTTCCTGCCTTCGAAGAAGCCTTCTCAGGAGCCTCCGGTCTGTTTCGGCAGTGTTGCGCCTCCTTGTTCCTCAGTTGTCGCATCGTGGATTCCCCTTCCCATCCGTTGGGAATCTGGAGCTTTTCATAATCAGTTGCTCGGATGACAGCTCAACAGGAGAATCCCTCGATCCCTTCTCAGGAGCCTTGTGCTTCCTTTGAAGGTCTTCACCCCCTGGTCGTGCCGCCAATCTCTGCATTGCAGCTTGCACATTCGTCGCGTGCTTCTTGGCGCACAGATGAATATAACTCAGCAGATGAATACTAAACTTGTGTAATTCCGTAAGACGTGCGCCGCTCGCCGTTCATCGGGGGAGCTTTCTGACCCCCCCAACCGTACAGGGCCCGCTGTTGTCACCCAGAGGTTGCATGGATGTGGCTGCCATGGGAGACCACGCTGTATCTCACAGACACCCGTGGCAGGCGTGTTTGGCGTTTGGTTGTCCCCAATCTCCAAGTTCCCCGAGGTCATTCGGGAGCACAGTCATTAGTAGATCACGGAAGCTTCCGGTTTTCTTGGATTGAATGTGCATTGGTGAGTAGCGCCCACGAGCGTTCAATATCGCCCAATTGTGCCCAATAGCGCCCAGTAGTAGCGTCCAAAACCGTTCGAATAGTGCCCAATAGCGAACATCTGAGGGAGCGGCATTGTCCACCTTGCGCGGGATTGGGCGCGTTGTTGGGCGCCATGGGGACAACAAAAAGCTTCCGTGTGTGGCTTTCCAACAGTCGCGGGGAATGTCTAGACGGCCCCCCCCCCACTTGTGCATCCCGGCACTAAGCCTCAGGTGTACTATATCTTGTCAGAGGCCCTGTGATGAGGGGGATTTCGGTCGCCTCACCTCCTGCCCAGAGGAATTCGAAAAGGGCTGCAACGTGCAGGGCAAGCTGGACGTTCCGCGCATGCCCGGCCACCTGGAGGCGTCCGTGCCCTCACCCCGTGCACTGTTTTGCGATTCGAGGGGGGACGGTGCAGGAGGATGGCCATGAGGGACAGGGTCCTGGAGCCCCGTTTTGGGCCCTTTGGCCCCTTGGCCCACCCTGGGACCCCAGAAGCCTGAAACAACGATTGGGGATCAGTACTCGACGCGATCCCCATCTGTGCATCTAATTTTCTGGCACGTCCCGTTGTGAGTGAGTGACTGTGAGCGCCTGGGCGTGAGAGCGAGTTCGAGCGGACGAGGGGTACGACGACGACGGCGGCGGCAACGATGAGGGACAACATCGACCACGACAACAACTCACAAGACAGGCGGTGAGCAGCCGTTCCCCTCTCCTTCCTCGTCGTCCTCGTCGTACTCCATCCGTTCTCTTCTTCCTCCCTTCTCCCTCGTGCGTCCGCCTAGCCTTTTCTCTTCCGTGCTCCCGCATACTCCCTGCAGGCCGTCTTTCTCCTTGTGCCCTCGTTCGTCCTCCTCCTTTCTCCTCCTTGTCCTCTCTCCTCCGCCGTCCTCCTTCCTCCTCCCTGGCAAGTGCCCTCGTCCTTGGCGGCCCCCTCCCCTCCTATACAATTACACCATCTGAAAACTACTCTCCTCTCTCCCCTGACTCTGTCCAAAGAGTGTCCCGTACTCTCCGCGTATTGGTTTTTACATTGGATTTCATGTTTTAGTTTTCCCATGTGTTTTTGTCAATCCGGTCGCTTCTGCCTCTTTCAAAATGGTGTTCCCGCTGCAGGGCCGCCCGCATTTCCGCGCTTCGGTCATGCAACATCGTGTTCCCGCTGCAGCGTTGGACTTGTTCCCGCGCCTCCGCACGGCACTTGGCATTTGAAAGCGCCCACATCGGGCAGGCACGGTTGCGGAGGACATGGAGCCGGCATTCTGGACAGGTATTGTCCTCTCGTAGACGCGCCATTTATCCTTCAGCCATCCGGTGTCATGCCACGGCATGCAATGCGATGATGTGATGTACACCGTTGTTCGATACCATGCTTTGCGTTGCTATGCTTTGTGATACAAGGCTTCACTACACAATGCCACGCCATGCTATGATATGCTATGACATGACATGGTATGCTCTGCCGTGCTCTTCAACGCCATGCTTTTCCATCCATCGCGTATCTTCTTGGGATCAGTGCCCTGCTCGACATCCGACTGTGCGAATAGATAGGAGATCTACGCCATGAGAAGGGATGGGAGGGAGGGGTAGGACTTCAGATGTCACGCACCTAGCTTGTCGCCGCAGCCCCTCCCTTCTCTTCCTCCCTCCTCCCATCTCCCTCCTCCTGCGCCCTCCTCCCTCTTCCTCCGTCCTCGCTCCTGCTCCCTGGCGGCCGTCGTTCTCCTTCCTACATCGAGGTGATCTCACGCGGCTCGGAATGGGCAGGCGTCGGAGGTGCACAACGAGCGCCTCGCTCGAGGCACCACCGCAATCTGGCCGCCAACGGGCGAGTGTCATGCCCCATGGCGGTCCCCACTTAGGAAGCTGAAGCCAGCGCCTCGCTCGAGACATCCTCGCAATCTGCTCCGACCCTGGCGGCTACCCCTTGGGGATCGCTATGTGCCACGCTTGCTATGTCGCTGTGGGCACTGGACCACCAAAAGAGCTACACTTGGGAGTCTGGAGCAAGCAAACCGCCGGATACATCCTCACGAGTTCGCCGCGAGCGGGGGGGTGCACTACCCCCTGGCGGCTCCCTGTTGGGGTGCCCAAGTGCCACGCCTACTCGACCGAGTTGAGCCAAGAGAGAGAGAGAGAGAGAGAGACAGAGAGAACTCTGGGGGCCGAAACAAGCGAACCGCTTGAGACATCCCCACGGTCTGGCCGCGAACGGGGTGGCTCCCCTCTGGGGTGCCCAAATGATACAGTCGGGCCGAGGTGGAAGATCGAGGTCGTTTCGGGGAGGGTAACCTGAGGTTCTTTGTGTTTGTTGGATGTTATTGTGCATCGTGGGGGAGAGTAATCTCGGATATTCTTTTTTCTCAACCCTCCTGCGTTGGGTTCTCGTTTCGAATAGAGCACTGCGGTCTCCGTCCTTCCTTCCTCCTCCTCCCCGCCTCCCTTCTTCTCTCCTCTTCTGTGCGCCTGGTGGCTTGCCTGTGGGGCCTGCGAAATGTGAAGCTGGCATGCCTTGGGAGCTGTGATCTGCGAAACTGTCGCCATTTTCAAGGTCGGGGTGGGACCGCAGCCGTGGTGCTGTGACGGCACCCCTTCCACTTTCTCGCAAGGCTCCGCCTCCGTCAGTCTCCAGGCTGCATCGATTCCTCCTTCTGCGCCCTCCTCGACCCCTGCTGCGCGCAAGGGCTCCGCTTCGCCTGGCGGGTGCCTCCTTCTCCGGTCCTCCTTGGCCGCGCGCGCCGCTGCGGTGACGGGCCTGCCTCACCGCAACTTCTGCTCAGATCCTGCAATTGCGTTAGGTCGGGCCTGTCCCTCTATAGGAGGACTATTCAAAAATAGTCCACAAATAGTTTGAGGACATTTGTTTGAATATTTGTGGACCATTCACGAATATTTTTTGGTGCATTTCTAATTTTTCGTCCAATGTCCGCCTGTAGGGGGACATGCCCGACCTAACAATTGCTGGAGTGGTTATGCGGCGTGCCGTCCTTGTGCGACAGCGTGCAGGAGCCAGCTTTTTTTTGTCCCCTGGCGACAACGGGCGTGACCGGGGGGAGGGGGAGGCAGGGGGGAGGGGGCCAGTCACGTTTCGGTTCGCGCCGGCGTCGTCTGCTAGAACGCACGCGCACGCGCCACTCATCCTCGGGCCTTTTTGTTGCGGGTTCAATTTGTCGCTGCCGTGTCACATGCAGCTGCCGGCGTCATCAGGCCCCACTCGTTCTTTCTTTCGCTAGGCCTCTGTTCGCAGGCCTAGAGGTTGACACCAACACCAAGATCGGCGGTGTGCCTCCACCGAGGGAAGACAATCCCGATTTCGGCGACGGTGATAATATTCTGGCTTCCCAGGTGACCGAAATATTGCCACCAACACCGAAATCTAGGATCATCTTCCCCATGTGGAGGCAACCCCCTGAGCTGGTGTTGGTGCCAATTTCCAGGCCTCCAATCTGTTATGGTGATGACGGCCGGCAGATGACTGCAGTTGTGAAGGCCGTATAGTCCATGCTTGGAGGGGCTCGTCCGGAGCGTTAGCCTGGGCAGCGAAGGAAAAATCGGATCTCGAAGAGATGAGCGCTCCCTTTCGAACGACGCCTTCGAGGCCCCACCCATTCCTCCCTCCTCTCCCTTCTGCCCTCCTATTCCTCCTCTTCGTTCTCTTCCTTCTCCTCCTCCCCCTCTTCCTTCCGCTCTTCCGCCTCCCCTTCCTCTCCCCAGAATATCCTGTTTTCCTTTTCTTTTCCCCCTTCTGTTCCTCGTTTCTAGACTTCGGTCGGGAGTCTCGAGAAGGCGCTATTTCCCTCGAAGTGTCAAGCAAGAGGTGCTTTCTTATAAAATTAGCCTCGTGAAGGACCCAAACATATGGACCCATTTTCAGCTCCTCCCAGAAGGCTTCTCTCAGCTCTCCCTGGGCTCCTTACAGAAGCCCTTATTGGGCTCCTTACAGAAGCCCCCATTGGGCTCCTTACAGAAGCTCTTATTGGGTTCCTTGCAGAAGCCCTTCTTGGGCTCCTTACAGAAGCCCTTATTGGGCTCCTTACAGAGGCTATTATTAGGCTCCTTACAGAAGCCATTACAGAAGCCCTTATTGCGTTCCTTACATAGGCTCTTATTGTGCTCCTCGCAGAAGCCCTCACTGGGCTCCTCACAGAAGCCCTCACTGGGCTCCTTACAGAAGCCCTCACTGGGCTCCTCACTGGGCTCCTTAGAGAAGCCCTCACTGGGCTCCTTAGAGAAGCCCTCACTGGGCTCCTTGCAGAAGCCCTCACTGGGCTTCGAAGCCCCCAAGAGAACCGTTTTGCGTCGGGAGAGGGTTCCAGATGGATTTTCATTCTGGAACGGTTCCGGAGTGAAAATCCAGCTGGGGCCTCCCGACGCTGCGCGGGAGGGCCCAGCCGCGAAAAACAAGCTCTCCAATAAGAGAGCTCATTTGGAAAGTTGTCATTTTGGGAGCTCGGGTACACCCCCCCCGTCCCCGACAGAGCCGTTTTGCGTCGGGAGAGGGTTCCAAATGGATTTTTACCCTGGAACGGTTCCGGGGTGAAAATCCATCTGGGACCTCCCGACGCTGCGCGGGGGGGCCCATCCGCGAAAAACAAGCTCACCAATAAAAGATTTCATTTGGAAAATGGCGATTTTGGGGGCTCGTGCGCCCCCCCCATCCCCGACAGAGCCGTTATGCGTTGGGAGAGGGTTCCAGACCTGGAACGGTTCCAGGGTGAAAATCCATTTGGGACCTCCCGACGCTGCGCGGCAGAGCCCAGCCGCGAAAAACAAGTCCCAGTAAGAGATTTCATTTGGAAAATTGCCATTTTGGAAGCTCGGGTACACCCCCCCCGTCCCCGACCCGACAGAGCCGTTTTGCGTCGGGAGAGAGTTCCAGATGGATTTTCACCGTGGAACGGTTCCGGGGTGAAAATCCACCTGGGACCTCCCGACGCTGCGCGGCAGAGCCCAGCCGCGAAAAACAAGCCCCCCAATAGGAGATCTCATGTGGACAATTGCCATGGTGGGAGCTCGGGTACCCCCCCGTAAAAGGGCGAGAACGCCCTATAGGTCCGTTCCCGTTCCCGTTCCCGCTCCCGTTCTCTAGGTCCGTTCCCGTTCCCGTTCCCGTTCCCGTTCCCGTTCCCGTTCCCGTTCCGTTCCCGTTCCCGTTCCCGTTCCGTTCCCGTTCCCGTTCCCGTTCCCGTTCCCGTTCCCGTTCCGTTCCCGCCCGGTCGCGTGCCCGTCTACCCCCCCGCGGAATTCTAGCCGGCCCAAGAAACGCGAACGGGAACAGAAACGGCAAGCCTCCCACGGCCTCCCAGGGCCTCCCGGACGACCCAAGAGGCCTCCCAGAGGCTTTCCAGACGACCCAAGAG